TACCCTCATTGTCCTGCAATCCGGCATTGACGTCGTCGCGTTCCAGAAACAGCTCCACGACTTCCACAGGTCCCCATTGAGCAGCGTAGGAGACGGGTGTTCTACCCGTATTATCCTGCAATTCGGCGCTGACCTCTTTCCGTTCCAGAAACAGCTTCACGACTTCCACACTTCCTGACTGGGCAGCGTAGGAGAGAGGTGTTCTACCCTCATTGTCCTGCCATCCAGCGTCGACCCCTTCCTCTTCCAGAAACAGCTTTACAGTTTTCGGACTCCCTGACCCTGCAGCGTACCAGAGTGGCCCCTTGCCATAATTGTCTCGCGAGTGAGGGTCAACACTTCCCTGATCCAGAAGTAGCTTCACTATTACCTCATATCCGCCCCCGGCCGCCCAGGAGAGCGCCGTTCGCCCCATTTGAGCATCTTTAGCTTCCAAATTGGTGTCTGTCAGTTTCAAGAACAGCTGTGTTGTGCACTCGTGACCCATTTTAGCGGCCCATATCAGTGGTGTGCAGCCCAGAAAATCTAGTCCATTGATATCCACACCCTCCATCTGCAATAGCGCGCTTGCAATTTCATCAATACCGAGAAAGGCCCCACAGTGAACACCAGTAAATCCCTTAGGCTGCCACCCCCGGAGATATCGCATCTCGGAAACGTGTGGACGGAGAAGGAGCTTGGCTGAGATATGACCGTCAAAATTATTTAAAAGCCGAGTCGCGAGCAATTTCACATCCTCTGTGATTTCGTTTCTTGCATAAGTTCCCCAGTATGTGGAAGCGTATTCAAGGAAGCAATTTGTTGATGGGGCAGCGTCCAGAGTAGGTGAAAGCTTATTGACACAATCATAGTTCAAATATGTCAGGCAAATCTCGGCCATCGTTGCATACGGGTTCCGAAAGCTCTCGGAACGGCCATCAAGATATTCTTTGAGTGTGAAGTGCACTAACCGGACGGTTGAACCCGTTTTATCGACCGTGATAAGTCCGAGGCATGAGGCTAACAAGGTTTGTATGGAGGGAACACTTTCGGGGTTAATATCTGTAGACCCTACTCCCACGCCTAGGGCGTAACATAACTCGTCCGCAGTCATTGGCCGCTCTGATCGAGAGATCCACATTAGAGCGGCCATGCCCAATCTCGACCTCGCTCCTCCTTGCGCCTCCATTCGATCTAAAGCCACCCGATAGGCGTCGCCTAAACCTAGTCCATTCGTCATTCTCTTAAGCTGCTCTCGCCGGCCGTAGATTGTTGCCTCCGCAAGTATCGCCCTGATGTTAAGTGAAACCAATAGAAATCTAAGCGCAATTGTCAGCCATTTCTTGGGATTCAAGCAGAAAATGCGCCAGCACATACACCTCTGAGATTGTTTCGGAAACTTGTTTCATGATTCCAATCCTAAGATCTGCGTTCATTGCTTCTGGTTCGGGGTCTTTCTCCAACATCATCTCCACGTATGTCATAATGTCCTCCGGCATTGACTTTATCTGGACAACGTGCGCACCCTCGGGAACATGTTTCTCAATCTCACGATCGATATGATGTCTTCCGGTAATAAATATGCGTATTTTAGGGGACCACCGCGAAATGGTATACAATACAGAGAGAAGTTCAGGCAGATGCTTCCCTAGCAATTCATCCAAGGCGTCAATACAGATAAAAGCCCGCTCTAGTGGAGCAATTGCAGCGTCTAAGAGTGGAAGGAGCTCGGTAACCAAGAGACCTCGACCACCAACGTCACCCTTTGCTTTCCGGAATGCGTCATCGATCTCTCTCGGAATCACTCCTAACCCCCGTATAATTTGCTTGAGAAGGGAACCCAAAATATTCTCCGGTGTTTGGGTCTTTTGGCTCTGGAAGTCGCAGTAGAAGCAAGTGACCGCGACTTTCTGCTCCACTCTTTGATCGCATAACCTATCAACCACCAAAGAGCTGATATCGCCGTTAGTTATTGACTGCCTGTGCTCTCCATATATAAACTGGCTCAGCATTCATACCTAAGATATGTTTTGCCGACTCCCGGAGCACCGGAACAAAACAGAATAGCTTTGTCACACTCATCCTTGCCATCACGCCAGTTGACAAACTCATCGCTTCGCAAAAGCCATTCCCCCACACCATCCAGCCGGCTGGTGCGCACATCTTGGTGGCGCTCGCGAGGTTCCAGCGGTGATAGCCACTCGAGGAGCTGGGGCTTTTCATCAACATAGGTAGTGTTGTAGCTATTTATCACGTTAAAGCTGTCTTTATGGCCTGCCCCAGTAGCACTAGGATCGATATCGGTTCGCGGATTCATGTTTGGAATGTTGTTAGGCATCCGGGAGTGATAGCGAGTGTCGGAGGTGTCAGGTGGTAGATGGAATAACCTAGCGGGTCAAAACAGGAGGCATGCCGGATCGGGTTGTTCCCCCTGTCCATTCTCGGATTTCCTGTGTAACTGTATCTATTCGCAGCTGATTGGGCGCCTTACAAGCATGGGATCAAAGACCCGATCGCCGCGCGGTACACAGAGCCTGACACCAACCGCGAAACGGCAAAAACGACGAGAAACGGCAAAAACGACGAGAAACGGAGAAACGGCGAAACGGCGAAGCGAAATACCAAGAACTCACAGACGAAAACGATTGCACAACTCGGGAGCCGGGAACTTTTCTTCATCATCTCTCTCGCGCCTATCCCTACTAGCTGTTCAAAATGTAGGGTACGGCACAATCTTAATAACTTTGTACGAAAATATGACGCAGTAGAAAGAGTGTACTGCGGGATGCTAAGTGAGGAGGATTGTACTATGAAGGTAAAAGCCCGGGGACAAATCTTTTCGTCCAATTCTGTTTTTACACCAAAAATAGACATTTTCCAGTGGGCAATTCTCAATGCTGCATATATGATAACACCTCAAATTGTTTCATAAGCTAGGGAATGACTATCTATTCCTACCTCTACATGTACAAGTATAAGGGACCAAAACTGTCTTCATTGTTCATCATTGCATGGACCAATGTAAGTGACCTCAATTTTTGTATGGGGCTCCATACAAAAAAGTACATGGCAACCAATACCAGACACTAAAACAACCTTTTCTCCATCACTTTATAATATTTAAGGGTTCGGTAATGTTTTTCATGTTATCTACAGGCTTGTTAATGCATGAACAAACTTTAACTGATTCTTGTAAACATTGCACAAGGAGGGAGGGTGGTGAAGATGGGGACTTTTGGTGTAACAAGGGCATTGGATAAAAAGATTTGTCCTAGTAGTATAGATTGGTAGGTATTCTGATCCTTAATTCTTCTAAGAGGGGTGGGCGGTAACCACTATATATACAGGTGTGCAACCATCTTATAATAAGAGAAAATAATGGGAAAAACATAAGTCTGAACATGTTTGACCCTGAAAGCCTACCATGTAAATCCCAATAAATATAAGGAAATCTAATATTGTGTGAGGGAATAATTATAAAATAATTATGAGTCAAATGACTGTTAATGGTACATAAGAGGTGCATAAAAGTAAGGAAATATCCTGAGCACCAGATCAGAAATCCACAAGTAATATCCGTAATCATTATCATGAAATATTAATAGAATATATGTAATATATGCCCTAGCTGTAGTAATGTCCATGTTTAAGGAATAACACCAAGTAGAGGAATATTAGAAGTTATCACAAAGATATACATATGAAACAAATTAGAAATTTCAACACTAACTAACTCTAAAGACAGGAGTATGTAACAACAATCATGTCCTTCTATCCTTCCATGGACCACCACACATGTCCATGCTCTTGCTCGCACCCCTTCCCTTCTCCTTGATCTACCTTCCTTAATCTAACTCCCGTGCTAACAAAGGAAACACAAACTCCCACTGTCCATAGCTTCCGGACTTCTGGCTTTCCCGCTTCCCCACTTTCCTTCCGATGGATTCATTGAACCAAAACTCCCGCAGCCAAATGCTTTCCCACAGGTTTCCGAACATAGAAAGCAAACTACGGTAAGAACTAAAATAATTGGTACTCGTGCTAGGACGTTGGACTTGCCTTTACTAGAATGGCACGGCACATTTTTTTCTTACGCTGGGGCTCCGGGCGTGAGTTTCCACTGTGTTTTGCCCCGCCTCCCTATCCGGGAGAGGGAATTTTGGACCTCTTAGCGCGAGTACCAATTATTCGAGTTCTCACGGTATCACGAGAGCATGCCAGGCAGAATCTCGCGATTTCCCAGAGCCTTTTATTTATCCATTGAATCCAACCTTCTCATAGGAAAAAAATCTTAATGTTCCCCCTCGTTCCCCCGATCTTATTGCTTGATTTTCCCATCTTCCCCGGCCGTCAGCGACCCCCTAATATTATCATATCCCCATTCCCCCTATAATACTGCCAAGTGTGCAAATGGGTCCCTGGCGAGGTACGCAGAAATTTGTAATTATATAGCGGGCGTGTGCTTGCTATGAATTCCTTGGGACTCTACATAGAATATTTGTATCTGAAGAGTCCCCTAGACCCACTACGGAACCCGAGGCAGGAAGACAAAGGATCAAGACAGAAAGTGAGCCTTAAACCCGCGTTTTCCAAGTTCACCCCCCCAAATTTCACTTTCTATCCCACTACCGGTACCTCTCATGCTTAAAACGAGGAGAAGAGTTTTCTACCTGATTCCCCCTTGCATTCTCATTATTGGGGCTATCCAATACGGTCTAAAATATAAGCCCGGTTAGGGTGATCACTCCCCTTGTCACTAACTCCCTTTCGGCTTGCCGGGACACCGGTGGCGGCTACGAGTAGAGTAGGGAAATCCCCCATCCAAAAAACCCACTGAACAGCACCCAAGCGGAAAAGGATACAACGATCCCCGTCCGATTTTGGACACTCCCTTTACCCCATTATTCTCATTTCTCTAATTGTGTGCCTTTCAACACATTCTACCCCCCGTCATTTTCTTTCCGACTAACTTGTTGTTGAAATCTGGGCCGTTTGGATGAAGATTCGCTCTTTCATAGGGGTTGGTATTTGCGGTTATCTACCGGGGATTAAGAATTTTGGTATTTTGTGGCACTGCGTCCGACGGTTATTTTGCGCGTCCTGAGGGTCTTGAAATTGCCAGGCTCGAGGTGCAAGATGTGAGAGATCCAGTAATATTTATTATGGAAAAGTACTATATAGGGTGGTTAAGGTTGGCTATCGCTCACTTCCAGATAGTTTGGGAGGGCACAAGGAGCGGACCTTGATTTGGCATGATCTAGCACGCTACCCACCTGTCGGAGGAACTTCTGTAAAAAAAATATCGAAAAAGGAGCGTGTTGGATGTTCCAAAGAAAAAAAAAGGCCCCCGATGTATGCTGAGCTTCGGGAACCTGTATGCAATTTTTTAGAACTGTGTGTGCTACCCGTTACCCACAATTCATATCATAACTTTTCACATTCACCCGATGTCCGGTAATTCCCGGCAGATCCTCAAAGCCACCCCCGTCTTCGGCGGCAGCCGGTAGCGTTACTGCGATAGCCTGCGTTCCAGTTGGAGAGCGCTATCCCGCCTCATCGGGTAACCGTTGAAAC